TATATTTCTTAATATCTCTTTTTTATAATTTTGAACTCCAACTCAAAATACTAGTTTATATGCACTAATCTTCAGGGACTTGTTGATAAAAACTCCTGGAGAACTGATGAGTATTTCAAAGTATAAAATAATGAAAACCATCCAAATTTTTCTTACTGCTTCATTCAACTGCCACCAAGAATAGTTTTTATAAGCATCGTGGTTTAATACAAACTGAAGCTTTATTTCTGGGAGCCAATATTTTGTTAGAATTTAAAAAAAATATACAAAAGAAAATCTTTTCTTAAACACAGCTTTTTACTATTCTCACACATAGTGTGCTTAAGTTTGGTATTTACTTTACTTTCCTTACTACTTATATAATTTCAGCGTTTCACTTAAAAACGATTCGCTGAAGGAATACCTCATACTTAGTCTCTAGGTAATCAGAATTTATGTCGGAAAGTGAAAACTTTTTTTTGTATTTCGTTAATAATATATTTCCTATTGATTTTGCAATTACAATACATTTTCCAAAAGTATCAAAGCATTCATAAACTGACCTGACAAAACTTGAATTTCAGAAATTTTTTAAAAAAAATTTTTTACGCTTAGAATACAATTTTTGACACTTTTATGAATACTTAGTTCCTTTGTGAAACTTAAACATCGAAAGTTTTATATTGAAAAATACTCATTTAGTTATAGAATTTGTGTCACATCTGTAGAAAGAAATTCCGTATCATATTTGGCATAAAAAGGTAAAAAAAATGTGGTTTCCAACATTAGGGCAATCTTTTTTTTAACTTTTAACTTCAGCAAATAAAGCGAGCTTATAAAATAAAAATCTTGCGAGAAAATAAATTTTCAAATTTCTCTTTGCAGCAACAAAAGATATTTGGTCATCGTTAAAACATAAAAAGAGAAAAAATCACGAAAAAAATTAAAGAACTAAAAACTAAATAATCGAAATTTTGATGTCTGCATTTTGTTTGAGCCGACGAGCGTCTCGCGTTGTATTTGTTTCAACGCACGTTCTTACTCACTTAATAATCACTGAACTAATTGCTATACTTTTATAAACCCAGTGCATTTTGTTATACACCTCCAAAATTAAGAATTATTTTCACACAGCAAAATAAAATGTTATGTTAATTTAGATACTAAACACAGTGGCGTAGCTCACAATTTCTTACAGAGAAAAATTAAAATAAACATAAAAATTAAACGAAAAAAGTTTTTCTTTACTTTAAAAAAAAATCATATTGAAAAATTGTTTTGAAGAATTTTTTACGTGAAATACAGTTTATGTTATTATATTGCCATATGTTAACATTTCTCAAACTTATTTCAATGTAATTCAGGATCAATTTTTCGTTATTTTTTTTCTCCTCTTTTATCTCTAAAAAATGCTCGATAAATCTAAGCCTTTATTGTTTAGTGGCATTGCTTTCTTTTATAAAAAACGAAAATTCTTTCAAGCATCAAATAATTACCTTTTGAAAAGGAAAGAAAATAGAAGCAGAAAGCTTTTTCTTTCGATTCTTATTTTCTTATACGAAAATTCCCTCTATTCTTATTGGTTGAACATTTTCTAGTTTTTACAGTGCTCAGATATTAATTTAGATTTTACATGGGAATAACGAAAATTTAGACATTAAATTGGAAAAAAAAATCATTGTTTGCGCGTTAACCCTTCAAGGACGCGTTGGACTCTATAATAATATGAAACTTTACTAGTAGCGAAATTTAAAAAGAAATTAAATCTTAATTCAATCAAGGATGTAGTTTTGAGTAAAAAAAGAATTTCTGCATTTCTTTTTGTAGAGACAACGTGAATAAGTGAATTAGTTTCTTTTATCATAGATTACAACTATAATTGTGAGCGCACATGATGATAACTTTTGCCCTCATAATGACGTCCCTTTTGAGTGAATAAATAGTTTTCAACCTCCGTTTCTCCAGTGTTATTTACTCTGAGCCGTAAAGCTAGTTAAGTATAGGGATTTATTGCTCCCTAATTGGATGCAAATGTATCCGTAATTGGACGCTTTTATCATAGATTTTAACTATAATTGTGAGCGCACACGATGATAACTTTTACCCTCGTAATGACGTCACTTTTCAGTGAATCAATAGAGCTCTCAACCTCCGTTTCTTCAGTGTTATTTCAATGGAAGAAATACCGCTCTGAGCCGTAAAGCCGGTTAAATATAGGGATTTATTGCTGTATTGGATGCAAATGTTTTAATAGTGTTCTGTTTTAAAGAAATGTTTAAAGGACCTTATGTATAAAGTTTTGTACAGTTTATATTTATTAAAAAATTTGAATTCAAAAATAATTTTCGATCTAGTCAAGGCTTGTCGAAAAATTATTCAACAGTTTACTATTCGGCTTTTTTATCGCTTCAAAAGCTTTTAACTTTTCTCCATTGCTTGTGCATAAACGCAAATCTACCAAAAAAGAAAACTCTTCTGAACGGTCACATGACACCCTTCTCTCTCCTCCGAAATTGCCGAACGAGCACGTGACTGTAGAAATTGATGTTTGGGAAGAAGAGAGAGATGAGGAAATATATAACAACGGGCTTGCTCTATTAGTATTTCTGCTTAATGGTTTTAAACGAAAAAAAAAAGGTTCTTCGTTAAGCAGTAAAAAAGTTTTTCAAAGTAGAGGATCATTTGCAAGTGGAAAAAATTAAATAAAAAAATAGAGATAGTTACAATAATAGGAAATTGTTTTTTTTTTCAGTAGTTTTCTTAATTCGATAATAAAATTTTAAATTTTAAAAAAATTGATAATATAAAACGTTTTCATCAGTAATTAGAAATTACAAAGGCTATGTAATAGTTAACAATACAGTTTAATTATTTGATGATTTTCTAATAAAATTACAACGATATATATGACGAAAACAAAATCTAATAAAATTACACCAATAAATTTTGGTAGTCATACATTAAGCAAATAGTTAAAAATAGTTACAAAAAACATAAATTATGTTATATCTCCGTCATAAAATAATTATATGCATGCCAATAAAGTTAACAAAAGAGTTATTAGAACAAAGTCATAAATATATCATTCAGTGATAAAATGTTTTAAAATAATAGTGCATCACAGGAAAAAAAATCAAACTATATATTTTGAAATTGATTAACAAATATAATAGAATGTTTGAAAAGGAGATGGTTTCTAAATAATTAATTAAATATTTTTTCATTTTTTTACATTAAATCATTGCATTTATGAAATCAAGTTAATATTTAAAATATTAATTACGTTAAATTATGAAAGATGAAGAAAGGTAATGCGTTTTTATTCAAACAATATATCAGATTTTCTTTAAAAACAAAAAAGACATTAAATCTTGACATTTGAAAAAAATTTTTATACTAAACGCCTCCCGATATATTGAAATTCCTTCCACTTGTAATTCTGTTCCGTAACTTAATGGTTCCAATAAAAAAAACATCCCTACAAGATATATATATTTTTACCTTGCTACTTAATTTTAGGGATTTTTTGGACGTTTAGCAGCAGATATGTTCAGTGATTTTTCAGCAATTTGGAGCTGTTTAATTCAATATTTTTAAAGTTATCTTGAATTGTATATAAAATTATAAGGCGGAATGGATACTTCATTAATAAGATCAACTTAATAACATAAATTTAAAACCATCAATTTTCTTATAAATAAAATGTAACTTTTTTTAAACTAGTTTAGTTTTATTACAATACTTTGAAAATGACAGTTTTGACTTAAATTACAGCAATTAATGTTGACTGGAACGATTCAATGCATTAAAATCTACATATTATTTAAATATAACTTTAAAAAATATTAAAAATTATTTTTTAAATTTCTTTAAATTAAAAAATATAGACTAATAATATATTTTGTAGAAATACAAATCAGTGAAATGAAGTACTCTTTTTACCGAAATTTACAAACTAAAATAGTTTTGCAGAAAAACCAGTCAATCTTAAAATATTTTAACGCTAACATGAAAATTAAAAATGAAATTTAGAAGCTAAATTTAAAAAAAAACAAAGGATAACGGAATTAACCTCCCATAAAAGGAAAGGGTTGGGTTGTTTGGTGCAAGAGCCAGTCTTGGCTATATCGCGCCTACAACTCGGCAGATATTTTACAGCTAGGTTCACAATTCTGTTATAAAAAGAAAGGAAAAGATATCCTCTGATAATATATTAATAGCTACAAGGTGTTCCGTAATCACCTCCTTTTAAACATATATTTTTGATTCCTCTATTAAGAAATGTATTTAAAACAGTAAATGCAGGAGGGATCGCAAATGAATATTCGGATTAATTTTTAGACAATGCAGAAACCAAAATGATACCGTAATTCGTCCAAATACTAAGGTGGAAAACAGAATGTAAACATCAAAATCAGTTTGAGTGCCAGAAGAAACCTGGAAGGTTTTTTCAATATTGTCCTTTTACTTATTTTTTATTACCTCCGGCAATCATGCGGGTTTTGATATTTTTAGTTTCGCCTTACTTAATAGTGCTAATTAGAGTTAGATACCGTTTTTGTTTCTTATTAGCTTACATATTAATTTGTGGCCCCTTTAATGTGCATATTTTTTTACTTCATTTTTTATATTTATTTTGAAAATTTGTATGAAAAAGGGTGATTGAAAAACATCCGGTACACTAGTATTTAAAAAGAAATTTAAATATTGAATACAAAAACAAGGTTGTAAAGATAACTTAATGCATTTACTCAAATAAAGAACTACGTATTTTAATATTAATATTTGGAAGGTCGGAAATTTTAGTTAAACAGTCATAGATCTCAAATTATAAGAAAGAGTTAATCAAAATTCAAATGTCTGAATGGCACATTTAAATTTAGTCTCTCATCTAATTCTTTTTGGAAATAGATCAAGCTACGTTTCAAACTATCTAGCTAATTTCAAAGTCGTATCTAAGATTATTTTTTATAAAGAATTTCAGATAATTAAATCATTGCTCTTATACATGTGGTACTTACTTTAATCAACCTAGTAGCTTTCTTCCAACTCCCGTCAACATACGTATAAGCAGAAAATGGTCGGAATTTAGCTTTATATTCAGTCTTCTTGATTCGACCTCTGCAAAAGAGACACTCTAAGTTAATTACAAATTTATATATTATTACAATATTTCTTGTTACGAAAAATGAATATAAATTTTTATTAACCCTAGGTTAAAATCCAATTTTAACAGTAAAGCTGAATGAATGCTCCTGCAGCATTTTTATAAACTAGTTAAAAATAAATTTGTTTTCTGAAAAATGATCATCGATCAGTTTTTACAATTTAAATATTTTTTAAAAATTCCGTTAATATAGAAAGAAACTAACTTCCTACAGTTTTGCTACAATTACTACAATTCAGAAAAGAACACTTTCGAATAATTAATTTCATGGGAAGAAAAAACATTCCATACGCTATTTCTAAATAATGCCGGATAATATTGGATTAACTAGACTGGGTTAAAATCTGATATGGAAGGAATATTTAAAGTTGGATCATACAAAAATAAATAAAAATTTATTGCGCATCGAAATACTGTCTATATTTTGTGAATTCAAGAAAGAAGCACTGTCGATTAAATGGAGTGTTATACAAGATGAAAGAAATGCAGGAGAACAAACATCAAAAATTCTTCTTAATCGATCCACCTGGAGGGACGAAGAAGAAAAAACAATATTTTGTGGATGTTTTATTGGATTGTTGTTGTTGTAATTCATTTACGTCGCACTAGAGCTGCACAATGGGCCATTGGCAACGGTCAGGGAAGCATCCCAAAAGATGATGCGAAGACCTGCCATCACAACTTTAATTCACAGCAGAGGGGATGGCACCCCCGTTTCTGTAGCCCAACGACGGTAGCCCTGTGAGCGAAGTCTAGCACTTTACGGTAGAACAGTTTAACGAGGACCAATACTACACAACCTCAGACCCATCGCAGGCTGATTTAAGTGGTCACCTACCCGCACACTGACCACTGCCAGTGATGCTTGACTTCGGTGATTTGTTGGGAACCGTGTCTTAACGATCAGTCCACTGCGAGACCTGTAATTTTGAAATTTTATTGTGTGTTTTAGTATTGCTACAATAAGTAGGTTGGACTTAAAGAAAACAATAGGATATTCAAGACGCTTTCGAGGTGGTAGCGGGTTCGAATCCAACCTTAACCCAGGATGAATATTTGTACTCTCCTTCTCTAATTTGAGCTATCTATTCTCTACTTTGATATCAAATTTCTAAGTCATTCTTTGTATCGATCACACAAATCCGCCCGTGTATGTGAATAAGAAAATAAAAAATAGGCTATTTGATTGCAATCACTGTTAGTACTCTCAGCTACATAAATATATGCTCCAGTTGAAGATAATCTTCGCACCACCAGCGGTGGTGCGAAGATTAGTACAATCCACCATTGGGTACAATCCACCTACAGTGGATTGTACCCAATAGATCACTGAAGTGAAGTATCACTGGTTGCGGTTCGTAAGCTAATGAGTGACTACTTTGATCAGCCTGCAAAAGGACCAAGGGTGTGAGGTATAGGTCCTCGTTAAATTGCTCTACAGCAAAGCGCATGACTTCGCTCGCAGGTAGTTGTGCTACCGAAGCGTAGTAGCTATCTTATCTACTGAAGATTAAAATTGTGATGGTATATCCGGTCATTCTCAGGGATGTTCCCCAGATTATCACCAATAGCCCCACTATAGAGCATTAGTGGCTCTGGGGATAAAGCGCTTTCCCCCTATGAGATGATCCGGGTTTGAATCCCAGCGATGTCTAGTAGATACGAATTTCGCACCCACCCTACACTAAACACAGTGGTGACGAAAAATATCCTCAGTGGCAGACGGATCATGGGCTAGAGTCCCTTTGCAGTCAGGCTTACCATGGAAGTGGTTTTCCCGCAAATGCGGGCTAGTTCCATCAAAAAGTCCTCCAAGAAGGCAAATTTCTCCCAATATTTGATCCAAAAGTTCACTTGTTTTCTGGATTGGGTTCAAAATTAAAAGGTTATGGAGTTGAACATTGGTAGTCGCAAACTCAAAAATTGAATTCGATGTTCAACGGCGGTTACAAAAGAATGAAATTAAATAGCCCCATTATGCAGCTCTAGTGATGAAAAAAAAGGTACTACTTCTATTATTACTACTCATAGAACCTTGGGATTTCATTTTATCGCTTCACCATTTGAAGGAATGAACAATAAATCTTATGCTGTTGTGGCTGAGGTAATATGGTTTCGGATAGGGTCAAAGGTTCGTGCATCGAACCTTAACACTTACAAATACATAACAAACAAGTTCTAGAAATTGCGTTTTTGAACTGACAGTTTGCATAAGGACTCTTGAAGGCACCTCATTTATTATTCTACATATATATTTATGTTTAACGTTTTACAATGAACGTAGAAGTAGAGACTAACAAGATATGTATGTTTGAAGAAGTTTAAAATTTACTATAAAATGAATCATTATTTTTGCCTCCCTGCATGTTTTTTAAATTAATAAATAATATTTTAAAATCTAGAATGCAAAACATTGTTATAAAAAAAAACAATTTTTCTCTTTTTTTAAAACTTATAGACATCATATTTGGACAGAAGTATTGAGTTCTTATTGAAACTCTCCTAAGGAAAAGCTCCAGTGTTTGATACTAAATATAAAACAATGTTAAATTGTAAGATACAGACAAAAATCTCACAAAAATACAAAATAAAGTACCTTTTAACAGCGTCCAGCGCAGATTCTTCATCATCATCTGGACCATTATTCCACAGTTCTGTGGGTTGGGCATCACCATCTGAAATATAATATAAATTTCATTTTCAATAGTTTTATGTAAACTAGCACTAACAGTTATTACTATATTTCTATATATATATATATAT